CATCCTTTTTGAATTGTGGCGCCTAAAACTGGACGCAGTACTCCAGCTGCGGCCAGTACAGGGGGAGAATGACGTCCCGGGATTTGCTTGAGAAGCATCTATGGATGCAAGCCAGCATTTTGGTCGCTTTACTAGCTGCAGCATCGCATTGCAGGCTCATGTTCATCTTGTGGTCAATGATGACCCCCAAGTCTCTTTTTTCCGTACTTCTAGTCAGCATAGCACTGCCGAGCCTATAAGGATGCTGCAGGTTTTTCCTCCCAAGGTGGAGAACCTTGCATTTTTCAGTGTTAAACACCATCAGGTTCTTGTCCGCCCATTTGCTGAGCCTGTCCAGGTCAGCCTGAATCATCCTCCTGTCTTCAGGTGTGGATGCTTTGCCCCAAAGTTTGGTGTCATCGGTGAACTTGGCCAGTCCGCTTCTGACTCCAGTGTTCACATCATTAATGAAGATGTTGAACAATATGGGTCCAAGGACAGAGCCTTGGGGGACCCCACTGGTCAGAGGGTACCATGATGATTGACTTCCGTCAATTACCACCCTCTGGATCTGACCACGGAGCCAATTTCCCAGCCAGCAGATCATGGTGGACCCAAGGCCACAATTGGCCAGTTTCGCCAAGAGGTGATCATGGGATACCAGATTGAAGGCTTTTTTGAAGTCAAGATATATGACATCAATCTCTTCTCCCTTTTCCAGGTGATAGGTCACCTGGTCGTAAAAGGAAATGAGATTGGTCAAGCAAGACCTACCCGCAACAAACCCGTGCTGGCTATCCCTCAGGATGTTGGCGTCGGCCAGTCCATTAAGGATGGCCTCTTTAATAAACGTTTCTAAGATCTTCCCCGGGATAGAAGTCAGGCTGAAGGGGGAATATAGGCTTCCATCTATCACGATTTTTTCTCAAGTCTTGTAATAGTTAATGATTTCCTTAGAGCATAGTTTCATGTCATTATGTGAGAATCTCTTAATCACTTTCAAGATTCTAGCCCTCGTGGTTGTGGAAAAAGTCCTGGAAACATGAACCTTACAAGCTGAAAAACCAGAAGCTAACTAAAAATAACCTTACATGTATTTGTTATAATGTCATGTTTTAAAGTCAACTTTATGATCTTGATGGCCTGACTCAAGGTGTTTGAAAATGGCCTGCTGGATCTATGTGCATTTGTTCCAAAGCGGTGATTGAAGCTTAGCCTAGCTCTCTTTCTCCATTCCCATTCCAAGGAGATAGAGGAACCCCCCTTTCCAGACAGTATGCCCAAAATGGGGGGATAGACTCGGCCATGTACTTTGGTCCAAGGGAGAGACTTGTCACATAGAGCACAGCTCAGGAAGATGATGGTTTCCCTGTGTAACCTGAGCTTGAGGTACTGTTGCTGCTTCTGCTGCTGCTTTGTCAGTGGTTTTCCCTGGCTTTAGATTAGATACTTCACATTTACTTACTGTTTTGGCTCACTTGTCAACATTTTTGGTGACAATGTATGCAAATGAGAGTTTTTCAACTCAAGCTAAACTTGACTGGGATGGAAAAAGCACTTTCATGGATGGTTTTCTCCCTGATGAGTGGAAACGGCTGCTGCAAAAAAATGTAAGACATTCCCCCCAAAAGCCAAAGGAACTTTTCTATTGGAAAATGCTCAACAACCTTAAAAAAGAGTTGCTACCAGTATTCCTATGATGTAACATTGTCCCTTTCCCCATAGCTCTGAAGGGGTCAGCCCCAGAGCTGAGATTATGTTGAGTTGCTTAGCTTTGATAATAATGTTTACACTGGGCATGTCTACACATGCACATTTACTGCACATTTAATTTACTGCACAGACACCTTACTGTGCAGTAGCCCTGTGTGTGCAGACTGACTTCGGACTAACTTTAGTCCTAGGTCAGAACAATGTGCTTTAACACCTGCATGTGTAGCTGCCAGCCTATTTCCACTTACTGCGCAGTAAATTTAAGCCGGTGTAAATGCATGTGTAGACACACCCACTGTTTACAAACAGCCACTGAGTTTGCTCCACAACTCGCTTCTCTTTTGGTAGTGCTGAGGTGTTCTCTTTTGGATTTTTATTTTTTCTGATTCCCACTGTTTTTTGCTTATAAAGAAAGATAAATACAAATCCAAGAAATCACTTTCCTTGATTCACTATTACTCCCCCTTTTGGGACTTGAGAAAAATAAAATATTATTATATAAGAGCATGTAGGTTATAAGCATGAATATATTTAAATGGAATCTGTTTGTTTACAGGGGTCTTTTAGTATAACTGGGTTATTCATTGTGGGAATACCTGAATTGTCTGAAGATTTACTTATGTTCTATCATGAAAATAAAAGTAGGTTTTCACTTAAACAGGATGAGATTATTATAATTTAATAGGACCCTTGAAGTTATATAATACATTACAAAAAATATTTTGTACATCTGATCAGAATTAAAGTCCTCCTTTCTTAATAATGCTTAATTGCATTTTTCCTTGTGAATTTGCTGCTAAAGAAAAGTATTAGATTGACTTCCCTTGAGTGTGAAGTCCCAAACTTATCCACATTTTAAGTCCAACACCCGTAGTGGTGGTATAGGCTTCGGTGCGTGCATCTGCATATGCAATTATTGTGAAGCAATAAACGCTGGAACATTTCCAGCCAGAGTAAACTGCTCCTGGGCACAGCATCTACACATACGCCCAGGACAGCAACAATTTGAGCCAGAGCGGAGCAGGCCCCTGGCTCACTGGGCTAACGGGCACAATTTATGCCCCGAGTCAGCATCTACAGGTGTGTTTCTGTGCAGTTAATTACTCCCCCATAAGATAACACTATCTTCGACAATACTATCTTACTATCCCTGACAGTACTAATTTGTTTACTGCGTCTTAATGCCAGCTCACATATATACAGTGACACTTTACTGCAGAGCTAATTAGTCTACTCTGCAGTAAAGTGCACAGTAGATGCACCTACTGACAACCACCGCTCTTGCCATTGTCTCTCAGCCCGACTTGAAAGTATCGCTTATAGCACTGTGTGAAGAGTTGATTTTCTGTGATCCTTTCAGTCTCTGGCTTGCCTATTGAGATTATCAAAGGAATGCCAGTTAAGTCATTTGTGATGCATCCATTGTTAACTGGACCTGAACACAACAACTTATTTTACATAAACTGTGGGACAGCCATCAGATCGTAAAAACTGTCAGTCACTGCCAACCTAGGCTGAATGCAGACCAACAAGCAATAAGTGAAAAATTCAATCTCATCTGTCGACAGACAAGGTTCCTTGGGTGAATTTGATATCTTTTAGACCAACCCAAATGGTTGGAAAATAGTTATTAAGCAAGCTTTCAGGTTCAAAAACCCTTTGTCAGGCTGAAGAAGTCTCTGCAGTTGGTGTGTGCTCTTCCTGGATGGAATGAAAAGTAAAGAAGCCAGGGGCTGGGCTGGGCTGGGGAGTCAGTTGCCAGGCAGATTATAATATATCAAAAATCCAATGTCTATGTTTAGTCCATGATCTCTAGTATCCAGCAGGTTGATGAAATGGAGTTCATAGGCTCGTCTCTGGGATGTGTTGTGTAAGTTTCCCTTGAGGATCAGGACTGAGAGATTGGAGAGTGAATGGCCCTCCTGTGAAAAATGTGCCCCCACCGGTAATTGGGTATTTCTGTCTTTGATGGATTTCCGGTGTGCATTCATTCTGGTGCGTAGTTGTTGTTTGGTTTCTCCTACATATTTTCCATCCGGGCATTTGGTGCACTGGATGAGGTATATTACATTTCTGGAGGTGCAGCTGTAAGATCCTGGGATGCTGATGGCTGTGTTGTGGGGTGTAGTAATAGTGGGGGTGGTGGAGATGTGTTGGCAGGTTTTGCATTTCTTGTCCTGGCATGGTCTGGATCCTTTTGGTGTGTTCTGGGTCTGAGGAAGTTTGCTTCTGGTGATGAGGTTGGCGAGGTTCGGTGCTTGTTTAAAGATATCAAATTCACCCAAGGAACCCTGTCTGCCTGTCCTTAGACCAACACGGCTAAAACCTACACCCCTGCAATCTCATCTGTGGCATTCAGCCTCACTTCTCTTCCTCTTCCACTCTCCCCTTTCCTCAAATAAAGTGATTTAGTTCTAATTTCAGTACAGAAAGGTAACTTTCTTTAGTAGAGTGTTAGTTCTGGATGGATCTCTTACTTCAAGTGGGTTTTTCAGAACATAACTAAGACAGCAGCCCATCTGTCATTTGAAGGTTTTGTTTGACACATTAATAGTGACGTGAAAGACTGATGAACAGCAGCTTCATTTGCTTCTTCCTTCCTTTACATCTTCTAGAAAAAGACTAGTATAATTAAGGAAAAAGAACCAGACAGGTGGTGCTAAGAATGCAGCACAGACATATTATAGTAAATCTTATATTGGTCTGGCATTAAAATTTTCTGGTTGGGCAGCACAGTTGTTTAATTGGGAATCTTAATGGCAGTGGCTAAAACCTCTAGGCCTGGGTCAGTATGAAGCTGGATTTCATTCTGTCAGGTATCTATAATGATACTTGTCAGGATACCTCAATTTATATCACACCTCTGTTCCTAATAATGTTGTTGATACCTTCTACTTCCAGTTTATAAGACAAAGTTAAAAACATTAATTGGAGTGAACGATACTTGAGGGGAGGGGAGGATTATCAGTGTCTTAGGACTTCACTGTTTTCCATAGCCAAATTCAGGTGATCATGAAATTCTAAGTAATACGCATTCTAAAAACACATTGATAGTGGGTTTAGCATGCAAACTTTCAGTGTTGAATTTTTAATATATTTAAAGAAAGAAGTCTCAGTGAAACAAGTTTAAGATGGCATGATGAAGCATCACTTATTCCAGAAATAAGTTTGTGTCCTTGTCCTCTAGAGGTGTCTCAGAGAGTCAAATTGATGTCTTGCATGTACTGCTAACTGATTGTGTGGAAATTTTTTTAAGTTCACTTTTTCTTTATTCTTCTGTCTTTTTTACCCATCTTCCCCCATTGTAGCAAATTAGACGGCCGGATGAAAGCAAAGGAGTTGCTAGTAGAGTTGGATCCCTCAAAGTAAATATGTTTCTAACATTTATTTTGCAAGTTTTCTTCTATAGCCTACACTTTTCCTTTTGGAGAGGGGGAGGGAAAGGGAGGGTGGGAAGGGGCTTTTCCATTTCTCACCATCCCATTGTTTTTATTTCAGTAACCTTATCGCTGTTGGGTCACATTTTGTTTGTTTCTGTGCTACACATAGAACAACCAGCTGAAGGCAAGCTGCCAAGTAGCTAGCTTTGAATGTCACTACAAATAAGAGATAGTAACAGCCTGCTTTAGGTTCCTATAATTTGGGGCTTGTGATTAAACCACTTCTCTGATTAATGTCATTCAGTGTGTCTTAACTGCCTGTTACATAGAGAAGTGACTTGTTTTTAGAGGACTTTTTTTCCTTTTTAAGATTAATTACAGTGTTGGTTTAGTGCTCTCACTGTTTGGAATTAGTTCCTCAAAATATCATTTTCATGAAAATTGATTATTTAGTATCCATGTGCTTGAGGTGTGTGTGTGCGAGAGAGAGATCCATGTAAATTTAATAAGTGTGGAGCTATTACTTAGCAAATAGTACTAGTCCTTTTTCTGCCTTCTTTTTTAAATATAAAAAGCTTCAGCCATTTATAGCACTTAAGAAAACAGGCAGATTTGTAAACTAGTGCCCACTCTCATACAGTAGCTTATATGAACAGATATTAAATATTCTCCAAGAATACTTTCTTGCTCATACTAATGTATTTGAAAACCATATCTGAGTAGCCCAAATTTACCAAAATGCTGAAGGTGCACAGGGTAGACCACCAGGTCAAGATTCAGTCTCAACAGTAGCCTCTTTTTGAGTCATTTCAATACTTCACCTTTTTTCCACTTTATTTCCTTTTAGAACTTTATGAAGCACTAATTATTAATTTCTTCTTCTTCACTCTCCTTGCCTTTCCTGCCTTCTTGATTTATGTTTTTTGTTTTCTTTTTGTATGTATGTGTGTTGCCTTTGTTCCAGGACAAGCCATCCTCTCTGTTCTCTAACACTGCTGTACAGCTGCTCTCTGTGAAAGCGCTATTTCACTGAGCATAAAGAGGGGGAGGGGAAGGATTAATTATGCACCTATTTCCAGTAATGACACCATTTAAATTGATTTCAGTATAGCGAACTAATCCAGATGCTATTTGTTTATACCAGTGAAACCTAGAAGCACCTGTAGCATTCCTCACTGTCTAGCTGTGAGGCTTTAGCTTTTCTTCTCCCTTTGTCACAGTTTCAGTGTACAGGAGGAAAGCACTGTATATTAATGATGCACTGTCATTTCAACAGAACACAATGCAATACAATCTGAATTCACGGAAGGAAAATAATATGAGCCACAGTTTCTATTGTGTTTTTGAAATTGTCTGTATAAATAACTACTTTGATTTCTGCTTTTTAATGAGACTACATTTATGCTTAATGCATATGTATAATATGTATGCCTACCTTGAATGAAAAAAAAAACATATTTTGGGTTGAGACTTAATATTTTTTTTTATGAGTCGGGCTTTAATATGATAGTCTGTCAATTTACAAAGAAATAGCTGGGGCCCACTTTTCAAATGCTGATACCTAATTTAGAGTTCCGAGTTCTTCATTGGAACAGCAAAAATGGCACCTTAGCTAACTAACATAGTTTCTTAGGCATCAGAGTCCAATATCAAACATCAAAATATAGAATGGAGAACCCTAACTGAGGTCCTCGCATTTGAAAACTGGCTCCAAGAAAGTTTTCTGTCACTGGACCATATGCAGCACATGGCCTTGCCAAAAAAAAATATGCACATAATCTTGAAGAAAGCGAATATCTTTAGAATGACTGTCCCTTTATTTAGTTGTGTTTATTTTCCTGAAAATATAGCATTGCTAATCAAGAAAGAATAGATCATTTCCAGCTTGAGAGTTTACTGAGCATGTATATTTGTGTTGTGCAAAGAAATTTGATGACTTGAAATGTTTTGCCAAAGGCAGTGAGAAATGTTTTATGCTATGATCTTATTTAAAAAAAAAAAGAAAGAAAGAAAGAAAAAAGAAAAAACGTGAAAAGAGAACAGGTTGCTTTTTCAATTCATTTTCTGATGTTTACATGTAGCTCCATCGAAAGCTGGAGGAGCTCAGAGATCACCTAGAAGGCAATGTCAAAGGATGCTCTCTCCGAGTAAATGTACGATTTCACTCGGTGATTTGTTTTTTTAAAACTTCCGCTGGCTGGTAACACCAAATCTGATTGGTTTGTCCGCTCATCCCCATCTTTTTCCTTTCTCTCTCTTTCTCCCTTTGTGTTTCTTTCTTTTCTAGTTGGGGTTTCATTGTAATGTCTGCGAGAATTCTGACTTAACTAGCAGGGTTTGTTTGAAAGAAAACCCTAGTATATTTTTCATGAATGTTGACCAAACTTTGACTGTTTTAATGGCAGCAAATGACTGAACAAACAAAAAAAAATCCCTTTCCAAAATCAAAACTGTATGTGTTGGAGGTTCCTGAATGTTAGAATTCGTAACAAATTCAGCAGATAGCCTCAGTTTAAAGGGAAGCCTCTTCTGTCTGTTACAGAGAGCTTTTGAACTGAAAGCTGTGGCTGGTTTCAAGTAATCCTGATGCAGCTTTAGCTACTACCTACTTCTCTCCATTGCCTTTGATGTTCTTCCACTCCCTGTTTGATCTCAAGAAAAAAAGATAAATATTGGTGTCAGATGCAAAGCTAAGAAAACATCTGAGCTCGTTTTGAGTTAACAGAATCTTTTTAGCACACGAAATAACATTCAGCACCTTTCTTAGATGTTACATTTATGCTGTAATGAAAAAAATCTTGTTTGGAACTGAGAAAAATCACTTGAAATAACTATTAAGGTTCATCATATTATTCATGACACCTCTATGTGGTTCAATACTCCCAGAGCCAAAGATGTCTTACAAATTGTATCCAACAGAGCAATACAGACAGTGCCTCTTTCCTATGAGAATAATCCTCTTGAAATATTGGACTTGCCTCTCAACTGTCTTTTTACAAGCAGGTCAAATTACACCATGCAATGAGTTAGGAAAACAAGGAAAATATGTGGGCATAAAGACATAGTCATTTATAACTGCATTTACCCCCAAATACCAGTTGTATGACTCTCCATTCAGTGAGGGCTCTCAAAATAATGTCTCTAGACCCTTCTCCTTATTTATGTCTCCATATACTGTGGCAGTTGACATCATCTGCAGCATTGCCACTTTAATGAAAAATCCAATTTGGTGATGTAGTAAAAGTAAAAAAAGAGGTGTAGACCTTCTTATTTTTCTGTACATTTCAGTTTAAGACTAAGCCCAAGACTACTCTTGCTCTTTTCAAGTAGAACACCCTGTTCTTACACAAGGTCATATACAAGGGAGTTGAGCTGATGATACACAAGAGCTCTTTACAATCAAATTGATGAGAGCACTTTGGAACCCATGTAATTTTACTAAGCAAGCTGTCTCATTGGGCATAACCTGTGTGACTTTTTCATTTGGGGATATGCCGCATGTATTAACTTTTAGAAGGACAGAAATAATTTTTCATTTTGTGTGTCTCACCCTTGAGTCCACTTTAGTTCTGCTGGATAAACACTGATCTTACAGAAAGTGAATAGTGAAGCTGAATGTTGCAAAAATTGTTCTGATCATACATCCTCCCACAAAAAGTTACACAAGGAAAGGTGCAAAGTGAAAAGATGTGGCTCTAATTACCTTCTGTATCTCAGGAATTGTTCAATTGGACGGTTGGAGATTGGGATACTGATTTAAGATAAAATAGCTGTCTTCATCTATGTCAGATTATTTCTTCTAATATGGCCCTCTGCCTTCAAAAGTCAGCCATTTTAGATGAACAAGGAGGTCAAAGTCTGAGTCAAGATATTTATTGTAGACTCCACAGGTGCCTTTATATTACCTCTGAAAAATGAAACTATTACAAGAAAGGTATTAAATTCAAAATCTAAAACTAATTTCCAACTTAAATTATCTATCTGGTACAGGCCATGATAATGGATGTTTTTCATAAAGCAGCATAAAAAAGAAGAGACCACATTTTCATTGGTTAAATCAAAAACTCAATTCTTCATAAATGGTGGGCACCTAGAAAAAAGTAATGAGGAAATAATTAATAAATGTACTTTCAAATTATTATTTATAGTCTCCATACTGTTTTTGGAAAGGGGTTTGAATAAAAATAGCTCACATTATTATAATGTGGCAACTGGATTGACTGGTGTAGGAGGGGAAAAGGTAATAGCTATTGACCAGCCCAATTATGGAGAAATTAATGCAGTTGCAAAGTCTTGTATTCTATTAAGGTGGAAACTTTGTGTTATAGTGGATTTCAAAGATACATTTGACTCATTAATTGGGACACCTACTGGAAATCTGCACAAATTTTTGCCAAATTTTTAGAATTTTGTCCTTGATCCTGCTGAAATGTTTGGAAAATTTGCTCAATTTTTAAGTGTTTTAACTCAAAACGCATATACAAATACTAGTAAATTAAGACTTGAAAATGTATTGAGTGATTTTAATTTTTAAATTACTTTTTTTATCAGTAGTCATGTTTTTTCTTTAAAAAAAAATCCCAAATTGAGAATTTTTTCTCCCCCCCTGAGATCTTCAATCAAATATACTCCATTTGCCTACTTCTGGAGATATTCCAATTCCCTTTATAGTTAATAGCTGTCGTCCTTCCCAGAATCCTTTGCTGAGGACAAAAGAAAATTAAATATTTCATATATCAATTAGTTCTTTAAGATTTTAGACTTTCTCAGCTTTTGAAATGAATGCAGTTACACTAAATAGAATACATCAAATGTTAAAATTATCAGATGCAAACTACTTAATCAGATTAGTATCTCATTTTCAAAATTGACACCTCCTTGAATGATTGAATCAAGCAGATTAAAAAACCAGCACTGCATGAGTTTATGTTTAGAAAATGTATTTATAACTATATAGGCTAGAAAATAAACTTTACATTCAAGTT